GCTAAAAGAAAACCCGAAAATTTAAATATAAGTCATATTTAAATTTTCGGGTTTTCTTTTAGCGACACTCATATATATATTCATACCCAAAAATCGGAGTTTTGACTTCTTTCAATGCCACCTTAAGACGTTCAACGGTTTGTTTTACCATTGTTGGGTCACCAGGGCCATTACTAAATAGATGAAATAGAATATTCATGTCCATTTTAGCAGCTGTAAGATAAGGGTGCAACGCTAATATTGTACGCTTGCCTAATAAATAATCCATGATAGTCTTTCTCATTGTTAAAATCATAATCCCAGGGGACCACCTTAAACTCAACTCCGCGATTAACAAAGCAACGAATTTGATTGTATTTCTTTAGAGTTGAAGAGACATATTAAGTGAGTTTTGATTGAAAATTGGATTGAAAGAAATGCTAATTAACGCAATTTTCAGTATTCGTCAAAAATCAATTAAATTTATTTTTATGAGAAGAGTAAGTATATTTACTCACCATGCCAACATCGATAGCCACAATGCGTAATGTCATACCTTTTGCATCCGTGATAGCTATTGACGGATCGGGAGTATATATTTTGGGTTCTTTGATAGAAACTAGTTTATGAAAAATAAAAATTAGTTAATTAAAGGATTAATGCTAGCTTTAGTACTTTAAGAAATAAAATAACCACCTTCTGCAACAAGGTTTCTTTCATTTGGATCGACCCATGGAACATCCTGATAATCAGCCATCCACGGTTCCGGATAAACCAATCCATCAATCGACAGATCATTCGATGTCGAAATACCCAAAGCTGCATTACCAACGACACTCTTTGGAAATAGTATCTTACCCAAAAGTACACCTTGAGTACGAATCTTTTTTGTGAGAGCACGAGTATCAATTCCATATATAGCTGGGATATCATGTTCTTTTAACCAATCCGCTAATGAAGATTGTGCCAAATGATGAGAATATTCTCGAGAATATTGTCCAACTACTAGACCCGTAATATGTATCTCGCAAGATTCAAAATACTTTGGAATATCTTTGAGAAGAGGTTCCATGTCGTCGCGTGAAGGAACACCATAATTGCCCACGAGTGGAAAAGTCAAGACAAGGATTTGTCCTTGGTACGATGGGTCGGTAAGAGACTCGGGATAACCAACCATTCCTTAATTATTTAAAATTTCAAACTTAGAAAATGTTAAGAAACACTCACATGATTTGTTTCAATATCGTAAAATTTAGAAACTTAAAATCGCTAAAATTTTTTATA